TGTGTGTGTGTGTGTGTGTGTGTGTGTGTGTGTGTGTGTGTGTGTGTGTGTGTGTGTGTGTGTGTGTGTGCAACCCTGTCCCCTAGAAATTGTGTTTGTATATCAATAAATTGAATTCCTAATTTTTCTTAATACCTGCCTGGATTATGTTCACAGACAATTTGAAAATACTACATTTATGTAACGTGATGGATGCACGTACAATGTGCAGGACTGTCACACCATAGTCCAGGGTTCTCATCCAGATCTCTGCTACACATGCCCTTTGGTTTAATATGATTAAATGTTAATAAAATATCACTACGAGTGGATAGTTGATTGCCTGTTTTGGCAGAAAAGAAATTTGAAATTATTTGTGAACATTTTACTGATACGTTCAATATCAACATTTTTGCAGGCATCTTAATTAACAACCTTTCCTTATTATGTTAGTAGAAAACAGAATTTTGCTAATTGCAAATTAGTTTTGTATAAATTGAATTTCTAGAAGACAGGGCTGGTGTGTGTGCTTAATCTTCAGAGCCCCCCTGGATATGTGCATGCACGTGTTAATGTACAGAATAAATGTACTAGGTTGCATTTTTAGTTAAATCTAAAACTTGTGTGGAAATAATATTACAGCAGAAAAAACAATATGATCAAGGATATTTATATTCAGATACTGTAAATGTCCATCCTGTCTGTCCTCAGAATCAACAGCTGTCAGTACTTTCTTTCAGTCCATAATGGGTTAATTGCTGCTCCGTGCACACAAGCAAGCACGCAGAGATTCAGTTTCAACAAAGTGAGAAAACACTGGATTAACAGGCAAAAAGCTGCCAGGCTTGTTTGGTGGTGAGCAGGCAGTGTGCAGTGGGTTTATCAGAACTTGTTAGCTGAAAACAGCTGCCTGCTGCCACTGAAAACAAGGTTAATGAGAGAGCTGAGGCTCCAGCATACTGTAAATGTGTCATAACACCAAACTGCAAGCTAAAGAAAGGGGTGCAGATAATTACACGTGTGTACAGCAAGTGTGAATAATTCTCAGAAATCTTGCTCCAGTCTCCAAACTATGTATTCAACAAACACAAATACATTTAAAGGTGAAAGGTTAAAGGTAATCACGAACACTTTAGGCAAACAAATGTGCAGTGGAGCACTTTAAAAGCATGGTGGGTTGAAATTGTAAGTTGCGTGTGGGTGTGTGTTTGCGTTTCCTGTTTTGCAGACTTTGGTGGAGGTTTCACTTCCTCCTCATCCAACCGAACCAGAAAAAAGCTGCAGGTAAAGAACAGAGAAGACCGACTGTCGGTGCATTGTTTAATTCAGTGTCTCTCAATTTAGCTGATGGTGGCAGAGTTGACACTTGACCTCTGATTTAAAAGTGAAAACATCTGTTTTTGTGTCCTTTTGATATATTTAGCTTCTATTTCCATCATCAAGTCAATCTGACCTGAACAGGAGAATATATACGTGGTGTAAGTAATGTAAGTAATAATCTCTTATATCTCTATAATTAAACCCAGAAAAAAGGTTTTGTTCTGGAAAAGGTTTATTTTTCCGGTGCGGTTTCACCTGACACACAACAGTACAGTTTATTTCAGCAAATCCATTTACACATCTAGTGATGTCACACACAGGCTAATTCAATTTTGTTCACACATAAACTAGTGACTGGAGGTGAATCATCCTATTTCACGCCCACTGTCATTGCCCAAGGCTCCATCTTTCATGTTTGTCTCATTTAATGTTCTCAGTAACTGTTGCATTGTTTTTCCACTGAATACTCTGCTGGGAAATCCTTCTTTTAATTACCCCACTTAATTGTTTTTAAACTTTACATAATACAGTTTTACTGGCTGAGCCTTCCTTACATTTGATTCTCTTGCAGAATCCTCTGCGTCATGTTGTTTTGTTCACTTGCCAGATCTCTGCAGGCTCTTTCTCTGTGACGTCCTTCGAGACACACCAGTGATAAAGAGGGAAATTAACTTGACATGAGACTCAGTGAGAAACATTCAGTCTTTCCTCAAAATCACTATTCCTCAGGGAATGCAATTAAGCCCTAAATGGAACTAATCCCTCTAAGATTATAGTTGTATAGGCATCACTTTGGTGGTAATGCGTAGTAATGTGAAAGGGATCCAGGGTGTATCACAGGACCAGTTGTTCTTACCTGAACCCGAGTTATAAAAACCACTCAGACCAGGTTCTTTGAGGACAGCTCAGATGTTTGGAGCAGAGGGAGCAAACGCATCCCAAATGCAACTGTTGGTCAAAATCTATCTACAAAAGAACAGACCATCTGCATAACCTCAAAATGCTGTGTGTCAACGACTTGATATGCAGCTTTAGTGCCCCCCTGTGGTGACAGAAGGCACAGCACAGGACATTCAACAAGTGGCAGGTTTAGTATAACTCATGGAAACAGCACGGACTGCAATACATGGTTTTATACACTTTACAGCTTTTTGGCATCATTTGAGCATATTGTAGACATATTAACAAATAAGAAATGATTCAAATTCAGTCAACGCTCCCACCCAAAGGTCCCAAAGTTGTGTGATCCTGCCTTGTGTTGTTGCATTAGTGAGGTTTACAACATCATGGCCTTCTGAAATGTTTTCATGTCACCTACACACAAAGCAGCAGATATGCTTTAAGCTGTGGAAATGAGTTTGATAAGACTTCACACCCCGTACACATATCAGAGGAGATTTGTGCCGCTAGATATGATTCAGAATCGTATCACCGATCAAAGGTTAACCTCTGATAACATACGGTGGTGGAGACTAAAGCCAACTCTGGTCAGTGTTCCAACAGGGGGGGTGTGACTATAAACGTTAAAAAAATATTTAAAGTCAGCAGCTGGGTATTTCTTTCAACTGCAAACCCCTGATCATCAACATTATAGGCAGCTGACTCAAAGGAGGTGAAATGTAATAATAACAGCAGCCTGAGAGTCGTCCTGTGACCCTAGGATCTTGATTTAAGAGAGTTACGTGTGTCTTAGGAAAAGAGTGAAAATAAGAGAATTTGGGAAGTGATGTGAGATACACTTAAGTGAACAGTGAACTCTTTTAGGGAGTATTTAAAAGCCACATTTGGACCTATTCAGGACTCACACTGCAAATGAAGCAGGGAACACGTCTGAAAAAGAAAAAAACAGAACAGCTGGCTTTATTTGACATGAAATTGCTTGTTTTTGTGTGACAGGGTATTACTGAGGACTGCTTTTGTGTGCTAGTATAGGTATCAGGCACTTATACTCATACAGGAAGGGACATTTTACAATGCCAGAATTACAGCAAGACATGTCATTTCATTAGAATTTAGAGGGTCAAATGCAAATGTAAAAATCTATTTATTGTTTTGATCATTTGTTTGCTTGATCGTGCCCACCACCCCCCACCCCTGACTCTAGCTCTCGCTCTCTCTCTCCTTGGTGTATGGCGCCCCCTACTGTTGCTCTTGGCCTGTTCACATCATTTGAGGTAGTCACTCAAAAACAAATCAAACTGTTAAAACTCCACATGTTCTAAATTGAAACAAAGACAATCAGTGAAGAAGTCATGAATACAGGGTTTTGGATTGTTGGCCACTGATTATCTAGCTGATGGATCAATTGGTTTCTGTGCTTACGGCCCTTTTAGAAGTTTATAATTTTGACATTTCACTGATTAGTTTGAGTCTGGTGGCATCACACTGAAAGGTCTTTGTCCTTTAGTTGTTCCAAAGTTGCAGTACTCCCTCTTAAACCAAGCGGAAACACGAAAAAAAAAATACTCTGGACAAAGTCACGACCGATGTATATTGAGCTTCAGCCACCTTACATTGCTCTTCTGTTACTCTCACTGAGTGTTAAGAGAGCCACAGTGTGTACCAACTTAAGAAAACATATTATTGTTGTTTTAATATGCAATAATTTGTTGTCACATGCTAAAGTATCTTCTTATATGACAGGAATTAGGGTGCTATGAATGGATAGATAGAGAGAGTGTGGCTCCATGCAGAACAAACTCTTTGCTCTGATTCTCAACATGTGTTTATGAACCTTCAAATTCCTTTTTTGTCACCCGTCCGTCCACTGATCAGAGGAAACTGTTGCAGAGTCCCGTGAAGAACGTTGTAATGTTGTAGAAATCTTCTGTAGATATCATCAGCAGAAGAGGATAGGAGAAGTTGGGGGCCCCAGTGGTTTGAATCTGTGGCAGAAAATATCTAATTCTGATCTGTGGTGCGTATGCAGAACAGGATATTGCTGAGAACATTTCTGTGTGGTCACTTGACTTCTATGCTTGTTACTTCCTCAGCATTTATCAGTGCTCTGCACATTAAAAATATTGCAGAAATAATTTGGTGTCACCTAAAAGAGTTCCTTTCATGATAACAGTCCCTGGTCTAGTGCTGAATACATGAAAAAAAACTATATATTACATGAATGTGGATATAAGTTATACATGTGAATTGAGGCATTCAAATTTGGTTTGTACAATTATCATATTTATTATTATATTTAGATGATTATGATCATGATTATTATATTCTGCACACATGAACAACTGCAACTACAATAAAACTGATTTTCACAAAACATGCATACATAAAACATAAACACATGGGCCTATTTTTAAGTTGGGTGAACAAAATGATTTATATAAATCACCTATGACGTGACATTTAACTAATTACATCTTTCATCAGGTATCCATACATGTGTGAAAAAAAACAATGTCAAATATATAAAAAAAAAAAGGGTGTAATAAAGATAAATGCATCATTAAAACTCGTGGTATAGTGCATAAATTATTACTTCAAACTATCTTTTATAACGTGCAATAGCATGGGCATCAAATAAAACTTAATATATGCACTACATAAAGTTTTATTATAGAGAACTCCGGGTCTCCTCCTGGTTGGGCGGACGTGCGAATCCGCGCATGCGCTCTGCCGCCCCTGTCCGCCAGGGCGGTGATCTCTCTCTCTCTCTCTCTCTCTCACACACACACACACACACTCACTCTCTCTCTCTCTCTCTCTCTCTCTGGGAAAAACCCGAGCAGGAGGAGAGCAGCAGAAGGGGGGAGGAGGCGGACTCCTTCTTCTTCTTCCGATACAGCGGCGGCGGCAGGATATTTAGTCAAATAAATCAAAAAAAATAAATAAATAAATAAAACACTCACGCACCAACCTCCCCCCTCCACCCCCCCCACCCGGTGAGGAGCGGCAGAGGAAGAAAAAAAAAAAAAAAAAAGCACACGGATGTGCCTCCGAAAGCGCAGCGGATACCGCCCTCCGGACCTTATTAATGCCAAGATTGTGAGTATCTGATCGGCTGCAGAGAGGAGCCTGAACACGGGGAGGGGAGTGGTGGGTGGGGGGGTGGGGGGGGGGTGCTGGTTTCAGTTTAATTTCCCCTGCCCTGGTCTCCAGTCAGCGGCGGGGCTTTTCCTCGCTCCGCGGTGTTGAGGAAAAAGGTCGGTCTCCGTGATTCCTCCCCTCCCCTCCCCTCCTTTCCTCCTTTCCTTTCTTCTCACCTCCTTGACTCCTTCCCAAGAACAGGCGGGCAGGCTGGCTTTGGGGTGGTGGGGGGGGGCAGAGGAGGAAGAAGGGAGTCAAGCGACCCCTTGTCTTTTGTCTCCTCCCGTCTTTTTTCTGTTACTTTGAAACGGTTTTGACAGCAGCGGAGGTGTTCCAGTCTTCACCTCTAACAGAAAACACTCAGACAGCTTATTGGTGGGAAACTTTCTTTCCTTTCTTTAATCTAACTCTTTCTTCCAGTGGTCAGGGTTTAGTCAGTTGGTTGAGTTTTGGAGATGGAACCAGTAAAGTGACTGGAGATGAACAGGGGAGAAGGGCTCAGCCATAAAGTGTCAAACCAGCAGTGTTTTGTATTTCTGCGTAAGAAATCAGCAACGACTTTACGTTTCTTTCTCCTCAGTGATTTACTTTTGTGAGAATTTTCTTCTTCTTCTTCTTACGTCGGTGTCGCAGATTCAGCAACAAGAGGACACTATTGAAGCTAGCTATTTAAGCTGACTCCTGTTGGCTAGAACTCCTCCTCGGCGATGTGAAGCAGCTGTGGTGTGAATTGCTGTCAGCTGTGATACAGATTCGACAGATGTTGTACAGATGTGTTTTTGTTTTTAGATGAGATAGCAGTTTGCTAGTTTGAGCTGTAGCTCTTGGTGCTGGGCGCTAAGCTCAGTGACATCCGACTCACCGGTCAGCTGCATTGACGCTATGTAGAACAGACAGGGCTTCTGGGTCTGTGAAGTGAAGCCAATGTGGAAGTGTCTTAAACCTGCATTCTGTGTAACGGCCAGCAGGGGGCAGCTCCACTGGTTGCAATAACACACTGATACCATTCAGTCTTATGGAGAAATGAGCCGATTTCTCAGTTGATTTATGAGCTCAGTGAACAGTTTCCTGATGAGTTTCTGGTCTCAGTCTGTAGTTTCAGGTCTTCTTCCATACAGCATGATGTTCATTTAGTAACTGATGGTCCCATTTAGAGTAAAACAGACCATAAAGCAGGGTATGCTTTAGGGCGGGGCTACCTTGTGATTGACAGCTCATTCTCAGTGAGTCCGTCCAGCTCAACGCACCAAACTCAGATCAAACTGTCAAACAGTGCTGATCAGATATGGATCCAGATTCTGTTGTTGACTAGTTCTCTCCTCCAATCTGTTCACGAACACATTTTAGTTTCACTGTATTGTTTCCTGCTACGGACGAGTTGAAACTGCAGCTGCAAAACGGTACTCCACAAACCAATGGGTGACGTCACGATAGGTTCAGACTTGGTCACTTGTTGCATCATTCGTTGGTTCATATTGTAAGCTCGGCTTCGGATGCAGACTGGACTGTAGCCTTAATGTTGCTAGGCTAGAGTCAGTCAACGGGTTTGTGTGTCATTTGAATGTACTGTACTGTACGCTCCCATTAAGCAAGACAAAACAATAGATAGCATCTGGAATCTTTCAACCCTTACTGTACAAGACTGTACTTATTCATGCGTTGCTCTCTGGTTGGTTGACAGGAAGGAGGATCTGAGTTTTGATTCCTCCTGTTTTTAGAATGGGATAATTGTATTTCAGTGCCTTTTGTTTGTCTGTCTGCTAACAGAATTACAGCAAAACTGCTAGCCTGATTTTCATGAAATTTTGTGGAAGGAAGGGTGTATCATGGGCCAAGATATCGGACGATCGGAGATCTCAGTGCTTGCTCATCGTCTGGGGATTTCTAAATATAAAGCAGTTGCTCGAATGAGAATGGTGGCTAACAAACGTACACCCCTTACTCAAAGGACACGCCTTCGCGGTTCTTTATTTAACGCTAATTGTTTCCACCTAGTTTTAGCAACAAAAGCTAGGAGAAGGCCTCAGTCTCTATTGAGCGAAGACTGACTTGTGAGTCCAGGTCCATGGAGGAACCCATTACATTTCGAAACACTGATGACCTCACTTTTGTTAACATTGCGGGATAGATCAAAATGAACTGAATTTGTCGTGCATGAGTGAACCTTAAAGCGAATGTTGTGCCGTGACTAAAAATACAATAAAACTACCAACCACCTCAAACATCCCTGTAGAAACAAAACACCGTTGGCGTTGGTCGGCGCTCTCCGAGTGCCCTCCTAGTTATATAAGGTAACATGAGACACGAGATTGTTGTGGTGCTAAAACCTGAGTCGGGAGCCCGTTGCAACTTACTGAATGTAACTGATAGTGGAAACACCAAATTTAATGAGAGGCATTGTGGATCAGTCAAGTCTGGCTAATGCTCAGGTCTTTATTGTGGCGGGTTCTGATACAGCAGATTAGATCGGTGCATCCCTGTTCCATTAAGTAGGCTCTGAAAGATACTGTATGTAGGTCTATGATGGTTTTGCTGAGGCTTGCTGAGCATTGATTGATAGGATGAATACCAATCATCCAATCACTGGCTAATCTATATCACCTTAATAAGTGCCTTAATATAAATATTTCATTATGAGCTTTTAAAGTCATAAGTAAATTGTGAAAATGTCATGGTACGTGGTTGTAACAATATAATATAGATACAGTACCTGAAAATGGTCCATATAGCTTAAGTATTAGATCCTTGTTTATACAGGAATATATTTAAATTACAGTGAATATTACAGTGATTCCACATGTTACCTTTACAAAAAAGTTGCACATTTTTAACATGGCAGTAAAACCCCAAACTCTTGCTTGACCCATGCTACACAGATATTTCAACCAGAGCTGTAACGACTTGTCGATTAATCAATTAGTTGTCAGCTATTAAATGAATCGCCAAATAGTTTGATAACCAATCATTTTAATTTTGAGTCATTTTTAACCTTTAATCAACCATTTTCTGATTTCAGCTTCTCAAATGTGAATATTTTCTGGTTTCTTTCGGCCTTTAGGACAGTAAACGGATAATCTGCGGGTTAGACAGAACAAGGCGTTTGAGGACATCACCTTTGGGAGACAGTGATCAACATTTTCACCATTTTATGATGAACCAAACAACTAATCGGTTAACTAAGAAAATGATCGACAGATTAATCAATAAAGAAAATAATCATTAGTTGCAACCCTAAATTCAACCCTGACCCTAGTATGTTCCATACAGATTCAGTGAGGCATGAAAAAGCTCCATCAGCTGATATTTGAGACAGTTCAGACAAATCACCGTGGTATTCCTTTACTTTCTCAGTGTCTTTGTGGTTTGTGTGAGTTTATAGTGACCTTGCTCTACTTGATGGTATGTTTATGTATAAACTGACACCATGAAGTTCCAACATGCTAGTCCCTAGCAGTCCAGTAGTAGTCTTATTATATACATTTTCTTGTATAGCACAACCTTTGTGTAAACTATAACTTTAATATTCCTACTGGGACAAGAGTCTTATATAATTCCTATGTATGACCAAATAAGGTTTAGCCTCTGGCTAGGCATGTTTAAGAGGAAGAGACACAAAAAAGCAGAAATGAATGTGTTGTTGCATTAATGCATACTTAATATGAGCAGAGCACACACTACTGATCCCTCCCTTTATTCCTTTCAGTCCCCTCATCCCTTCATTGTGCACTAAATGCCTTTTTATGAATCATACTGGACAGCTTTAGGTGAAGGTATTGCACAGGAAGGTGCTTCTGAAATCAGAACTAAAAGTGGAAGGAGGCGTCAGACTTGTACAGGTTTTTGCATTTCTTCCCTGTCCAAGCATGTGGAACCGCTGGCTATCGAATGTCAACATCCCGCTCCCTTTATCCTCGTAAATCCTTGTGTTTTGGGGTCCTTTCCTGTAGCCGGTTCAAATTACAAACTCTTGAAACCCTCTTGAAAGAGAAGTGAGATTGGTTTGGAGGTGCCTCAGCGAGGTTTGTCGGTGTAAAACCGTTTTCCTCACGTGACTGAACGAAAGAAAAGTTTGGTCAAACAGCTTCAAACACATTTAGTGTGAAAACGCCTTTGGGAATCACAGACATCCACATTCGTCCTCTATATGATCTGTCATTTATTCCGGGGGGTTTTTACCCAAAGCTGCACTTGTATACTGCATCACCATGGACACCATTATCAACACTATCAGCTTTCAGAAAAACAATCCTGTGGCTAATTTTGGGGTCCCAACCCTGAGATTAAGTAATGAACCACCTCTGAGATACTGACTGATACACGATCAGGAGTCTTGAAGTTTTTTTCCTACTTCTTGTTGCCAGTTGGTGCACACTTCCTCTTCCTGCATCTTTCTTCATTGTGTCTGTTGCTTGCTTCCTCTTTTTTTTAAGTTGGTCATCACCTTCTCTTCCTGCGTCTCTCTCGCTATTTCTGTTTTCCACCTTTGTTTTTGTCTCTTACTTTTTTTTCTCTCTGTCCACCTTTACTGTAGTGATGTGTGTGTTAGTGTCTATGTGGTTGTGTGTGTGTGTGTGTGTGTGTGTGTGTGTGCCTTCATCATCCTCTTGTGTCTGGTGGTTTTACTGGTTGCTTTTTGCTGCTGGTTTGAATCCACACAAAACCAGCATTCCCATGTCATCATTGATATCAGATGAAAACCTTAGATCTCCTGAATGTCAAATGTTTGTCCAGGGACTAAAAAAACCTCCCTTCATTTTTGTTTGACCACCACACATTTTTTAGGTTCCAGTGGGATTTTAAAAGAATCAAGAGGTCGGATGACTTTTCTCAGCCCATCAAGGACCATGTCATTCTTGGAATAATATGAACTCAACAAAAAGTCGCCAAAATTGGAGTTACAAGTAATGTGCTGTTCCTGAGGCTGTAGACTGTGAATTTAAAGCTGCAAAGCTGTAAATGTAGGGCTCCGTCTAAAGCTGTTCCTAATGTTTTATTATTGATTTATCTCATAATTATTGTCTCCATTAGTCATTTGGCCTGTAAAATGTAAGAAAATGTTTGTTTTGTCCAACCAACACTCCAAAACCTGGAGATATTTATATAACTATCACATAGGGCTGGGGATAAACGATTATTTATTAAACGACTAATCTAACGACTAATTGGCCCACGCCAGCCAACATTAGCTACTATAACGTTAGATAGCTGTGTTCTGCAGCCGTAAGCCAGCTACCATTCAAGCCAACATTAGATGATAACTAACGTTAGCTAAACACAGCTGTCTAGGCGCCAGTAGATAGCCAACGTTAACGTTAACCACCAACCCAGCACGAACAAACCGCACGGAGAGCCAAGACAGCCAGCCAGCACCACCGAAGTGCGCAGAGCCCGAGCCACACAACACACCACACAAACATGAAACCAACCCAGCCAACGCCAGCACCCACCAGCCACCGTCTCCTCCACGAGCGACAACGGGGCGCCTCCGCCCCAGATGCTCCCACATTGCCAAATGGAGTTGGTATACCGCACCAGCACAACAGCAAAGAGCGCAACTAACGACACCTTTACGTTTGGGACACTAAATTTGAAGTATTCCCATACCTTCGATGATTTAGAGCGAGCTGTTTCTTTTATTGGGGCTGTTATTGGGAATTCTGTGAGGAGGTTGCTGTTTCGTCCTCCATTCTGCAATGTTTTGGTCTCCCACGTGTGTGTGTAGCGCTGTGACGAAGCGTCGACGCAAAAATTTGACGTTGACGCGTCGGTGACGTCGACGCATCGCTACAGGCCTACTATCACATAGTGTAAAGAGCGAAGTAAGTCTTTCAGCTCTAGTTAAAATCTCTAGATTCTCTTCATTTGCTCAGAACTAGTCGGGTGGTCAGTGGCAGAAAGTCTTGGCAGGCCTCATGCAATCAGTGTATTGGATGAGAGCTGCGTTGGCAGATTTATGAAATCTGATCTAAAAATATTATAATTCAAGCAATACATACGCACTGCAAATACGTTGAGTGGAAACGCCGTATGTCAGCCAAAGAAAAATCTCAAAACTTAAAAAATCCTGCATCAGTCTTTGTTTACATGTTCTTAAAATACTGTATCGCCGCTATGTTCCCAGTTCCATTCCAGATGGGGATGTTTGTTGTACCGCACACCCCCTCCCTATCTTGTTGTTTCCTCTCTCTTCACTTCCAATAAAGGCAAAACAGTGTCAGTGTTAATGTGGCTTTAAGCATTGTCATCTTGACAAGATATCTGGGTAATGAAGTCCTCAAACTTCAAATTTAGCTTTACATAGCAATCCTGTACAATCAAATCAAAACAGAACAGGGAAGGCCCCTCAAAGTGGTACAAGTCTCCATAAGTTAAAATATAACTGGAGTGACCCCAGTCACATTGAAATCGATCCCAGTGACCCCAGTGACATTTAGATTTTAACTTAATAGTAAATCTCTGCTTATAAAGTCTTGTTTGGCTGCCACACTTGTCAGGTTGGAGGCCGAAGTCCCTAAATTAGTCCTTTCTATTTCTCCAAAATGACTTCTTAGGATCATTAGCTTTCCTTATTAAACTAATTGGCATGATGAGCAACAACCTTGCCACTAATCTCTGTCTCATGGTTTCAATGTGGAGTTCAACTTTCAAAGGAAAATGAACCATGGAGGTACATTTCCAAAGGGCAGCTGCTGTTTAAAAACCTCATAACGCCAAGCTTTTTAACTCATCTTTATTAAGGAAAGCTTTGGTGAGCACACATGCATTCTTTCATTTTTTTTTTCTTTACCGTTTTTGACGTCGTGAAATTGGATTGTGGAACAGTGTTATGTTAGATTTTCTATGCACATTTAAAATTTGGTTTGAAGCTATTTTCTGTTTTCTGTATCATTTTAGCTCTGGTATAATCCAATATTCACTGATTATTTAACTCTGGGGGTTGGTCCAAAATGCACTGGTGTTTAAGCCTCGGCCCACTCCAATATGAATTGGAGTTTTAGTCCATGTTTGGTCCAATGTGAAGTGGTGTTAAAGCCCTGGTCCAGCGGTATATAATGTTAAACCCTGTTTTAGATGAATATTTGTTGGTGTTTTGGCCTTGGTCTGGCCCAGTATGAACTAGTGTTAGGCCCCAATCACATAGAGGTTGCAAAATGTGAGGTGGACCACACTGCTTTCTTTATGTTGAAGCCTAAAATTTCACCTGTCCTTAGCCTAACCATGATTTAGTAGAAATAAACTTACATAACTTTACCTTTTATTTAAATTAAAAAAATCTGAATGCCGTTGGACACTTTTCTGCTCTGAATTAAAAATGTTTTAACTCGAGGCGTTCAGAGCTATCCTCAAAAAAATGTGAGTCATTCCAAGAATCTAAAACGTGAGGTGTCCAGGGCGTATTAGCAGCGCACAAAACGGTAACTGCCGAGAAGACGCCGCTCTCTGCAAAGCCAGCGCTCTCTGGCCTTACAGCCCTGGTGTGATCAGTATTAAATCATGTTTGCCCTCGTTTTAAAATACATATTCACTGGTGTCTTAGTCATGGATGCACAGATCCAACTTTTTCTCTCTTATTACTGATACCTCAGCTCAGTTTATCTGCCAACACTGAGTTCCTTTTGATACCTTTCTGAGCCAGCAGTGAGTTAATAAATTTAAAACCCCAAATTTCATAATGAAACCTGATCCGCTTAATAAAGTCAGTATCAGTACTGATACCGATCCGGGTAATTTTCACATTACAGAGAGGCTTCTGATTCAGCGTTAATATTAATCATTCGCTTAATGGAGTTTTAATGTGTGAATGTAACACACGTCATCTTTGATGGGAAGTAGTAATGACATACTGTGATGTCCCAAGAGAAGACTTTCTGTAGCTCTTGATTAAATAATCCTGTTAGGACATCCTCGGAATGTTTGCATAGGAGAAGTTCATAGAACCTGACTCACTTTTTCTCTCACATAACTTGAGAATTGGAGCATAATTTGAATTAAAACAGGAGTTTTAAAAATGCATTGTAAGTATTGTGTCATAGATGGAAGATTCTGGTGGATGATTGATACACACACACTCACTCTGGCCTTTTTTCTCTCCTTGTGTGTGTGTGTGTGTGTGTGTGTGTGTGCGTGCTATTGCCTGTGTACACCTGTGTTTTTGTGGATAAATGTACATTTTGGCACATTTTGTGGGTGTGACATGCTGTGTTTTCTGTGTGTGTGTTTGTTCTTTGACTGCATGTCCTTGTGGGATTTCACACACATTAATGTATGACTGTGTACATTTTTTGTGATGCATTTGTATCGTGCTTCTGTGTGGTATATTTGCGCGAATGCCTGCTGGCACGTACATTTGTGTCTGCGCGTGTGTATGTGTGTGTATTTATAAAGGAGAGGTCCGAGGCAGAAGGGGGGATGACATGCATGTGTCCGGCCTGCTAACATCGCTGACGACTTGCGCACTAACCGACTGCCCGCCCTCACAACATGACGGACGTACTGGTAAACCAACTGCACCTCTTCCTTTCTTTGTCTCCCAGACTCCTTTTATTGCTTTTCCTCTCTATATTCATCTCTTTATCTCTCTCTGAATTTCTTTGTTTCAGTCTGGGAAATGTTTTTGTAACAAAAATACCTATGTGCTTGCAAAGGAACAGGCCAAATATTTGAAATAAGGCTGTTCTCAGCACAGAATACGTCAAAAAAACTTGCGGATCTATCTTTCTAGCTGGTAGAGATGTTCTGATTAAGTTTTGTTTGACCCATCCACATATATAAAGGTGGACGACATGACAGCGCTGTAAAAGTGAAGCCAAGACATCGCCCTCTGGTGGCTGGATGCAGTATAGGTCATAAAGCCCATTACCTCCGTGTTAGCAGATGGGTCATTTGGCTAAACTACATAATATATCATTTTTTCCCCAAAGATGGTTTCTGTCATTTTAGATAGTTCGTATCAAGCTGTTTAGTTATTTGTAGCTTTTTTAACGTCATGATTGACAGCTGAGCCCTGCTGAGTCAGACGGGCGTATGTGGGGTGGGATATCGATACCGCGGTGCCAACCCCGACCACCACTGCGCAGACTCTGGCTCCGAAAGATGGCAGCGGCTGTATCTGGCTTCATTCCTGTACGGTGGGAGGAAGTGGACTCTATCTTCCTATGTCGATGGTTTGAGTGAGAAAAGACAAAGCTTGGCTTAAATTAGCTAATTCGAACAAATATGTAAGTTTAAAATACTGATATTGGTATCAGCCTCAGTTATCCAGTATCGGTTGGGCTCTACTGTACTTGTCATTTCAGTATTTTTCTCCCCGCCTCCTCTTGATCAGTCTCCTAAATTAAACTGTCATTTAATTTCCACATGTCACTGCCACTGTCGACTATTTATAACTGCTGTCAACTTGTCTCCCCCATATCTGCTTGTCATTTCTCTCTCCCCTCTCTCCCTCTGTTTGCCTTCTGTCTTCTTCTCTTTTGTTTTCTCTTGCTCTCTCCCTTACTTGTTTTCTTATCTCGTTCGCCCCCATTCCTCCTATTCCCCCAACTCTTTTTTTTTCTCTCTCACTATCTCTGCCTCTCACCCACTTTCCCACTTCATCTCCCTCTTCTCTCTTTCTCTAGTTCTCCGTCCCACTCCCCCAAATTCCTTCACTCAACCCCCCCCCTGTTTCCTTTATACTTGCCTGTTTCTCTCTCTTTCTCTCTCATCTTTCCTTTTCTATTTGGTCTTTTATTTGAATGTTTCCTTTATGCTAGGTTGCTGTTAAGGGAACTACATACATGCTAGTTATGTGTGTACACTTTGACCATGCAGTGGATTGGTCAATAGCAACTTGGTAGGTAGAAGTTCATTGAAGTGATCAAACCGCAGGAAATTGGCAAGCTAATGTTACAATTTCCTCTGATGTCAGTGGGAGGGTCTTTACGTCAGGCAACCCACAGCTAGAACACACTGCAGGAAAGCTTCTGTAAAGATGACTTCCGATTTCTGCAAGAGTAGAAAGTAGCCACACAGAAGTATGTAGACACCCGAACATTTCCATCAGTTACCATCAGGAAATTGGTTAGTTGAGGCGGTAAGCGCGTCTGACAACCAGCTGGTCAAGATATCCTTTTAAAATAACTTCAACTGGATGCAGACTCTCTTGGGCAAAACTTGTGTCCAACTGATGATTATCAAAGCAAATTTAAGTTGGTATCTGACCTGCAGTATAACAGTGAGTTTTTCTTTTTGCACACATCAGCACCTGGTTGGACTGATTGGGTTGTTTGAATTGACTTCTCCCAACTTTTGAAAGCTCAAATTTCCTTTTTTTGCAACATGTTCCTCTGTATAATACTGTGAAGCAAACAGTTGAATCGGTTCAATCTCCTGTGGACCCTGACACATTTCATCTTTCAAAGTTACTGGATATGTGGCCTTTGCTGTGTTATGTAGCATCACGAAGATCATGTGGAGTAATTCCATCTGATGTTATTGGAGGCACCCTTTATTTCAGGCGAGGCGTGGCACCTCCATTTTCATATGCCCGAGGAAACCCTGACCCATATATGATTGCTAAACTAATCTCATTCAAAAACCATGGACATTAGTCTACTGGTATAACTGCTCCATTCAGCCACAAGAGCACGGGTGAAGTCCATCACTGATTTTAGTTGATACGGTCTGGCTCCAGTTCATCCCATAGGTGTTTGATGGGGTTGAGTTCCGGGCTTTGTGCCGGCCAATCAAGTTCCTGGGAAAACTAAGTCTTTATGAACTTGGCTTTGTGCACGTGTCATGTTGAAACAAGAAAGTGTTTGAAGCACACTATTGTCTAAAATATCTTTCTATTGTACCGTCTTTGAAACTAAGGTGCCTGAACCATCATAAGTAGACCTACATAATTACGGCCATGTAATGTACATGCTCAGGCAAAGCTGCTCTCAGTTCTGTAAACAGCTGGCCTCCATGTTTTTATTATCCTCCTCGTCTAAGAATAAGGAGAAAGACATAACAGAGCCGTGAAAAGACATTGCTGTGTGATGCATGCATGCCTGGAGCATTTATGTAGCTTGAGGGATAAATAGTCAGATTTGTAAAGTTTGGAGTTCTTGTGAAAGAGAGAAACATTGACAAGTCTAGACTGGACTCCAGGGGTGTCCAAGTTTAGAGGAAGAAGGAATGTAAATGCTGGTTTTCTGAGCTTTTTTCTGTAAGCCATCATGGCATGAATAGGCCCATGCTGTCATGACGGGTAGGGTTGGGTTGGTGTGTGTGCGTGGGTGTGTGTGTGTGTGTAGACACCAGGTCTGATTCATCAAGTTTCAGATAGAAACTAAGAAGCACTGTGTGTCACAATACCTCTGACTCTGTTTCCTGCCTCTCTCTCTCTCTCTCTTCTCTCTCTCCCTCCCCTCTATCTTTTCCTGTTGCCTTTCGTCTCTCTTCCTCCTTTACTGGAGTGAAGTCGTGTTGATTGATGGAACCATCGTAGCTATTAGCAAAAGAGCGAGTGAAAATAAAAAGAAGGACCCGTTTGTTCTCTCACTCAGTCGTCCATCGTCGATCCACCATTGAATCGTCTCGTCTCTGGTGAGCTTTACGGCTGCATGGTTTCTGTGTGCTGACAGTTTAATGTGCCGGTTATTGGACAGGGTTTGCTTATTTTGTGCACTCGTAAAAGTTTGCCTTTATAGCTCGACAGATAGAGCAAGGCAGTACCAAGATTTTTGTTTGATTCCCTCTCTGGCTGCCCATGCAGTTGAGACGAGTGTGTACCAAACTGAATGTCTCTTCATTACTCAAATTTAATAACCCCTCTGTGGGTTATGAAGGAAATTCTCAGTTGTCTCTCTGATGAAACTCTTTCAACACCCTCTTAGATAAACTTGAAAATGCACTGTCATCAATCTTTAAACAGGACTGTTTTCTCAGTTCCTGAAAAGTGGACATCTTGGGGATTTCTTTGCATATTTCGGCTGATTAACAACAAATAACCCACATATTGTACATGCTCTAAACCCGACGATTTCAGATGATTTCTCACTTCCCAGGCCGGCCTTGGCTTTAGTTTATTGTTTATCATTTGTGATGCACCAGTTGGAAAATTCTGGGCCGATATCAGTGTTTAAAACAACAGTTTGGCCGGTAGCGATGCCAATACCAATGTGTTCTTATTTATGAGGTATACATATAGGTACTAACAATACATAAAGTAAATGATACAGTGACAATATCAACTTTAAACAATAAAATCATTTTTTAAATTATCTTTACTTTTAGTTCTCTTTGAAATTTGTATGTATTGTAAATGCCAGCAGGGAGTTTTGGTACGTTCAAGCATGCTCCAGCATCTGAGAATGAAGAGTTGGATTTGAAAGCTTTGTTAATGCAAGAAATGACAAAAGTCACAGTATTGTTTTCAGGTTCATCTTATTGTAAAGCTGCAGCTCATGATTAAACTTATTATCATTTAATGTGCCAAATATTTTCTCAATTATTGATTCATTTTTTTATTTAAGGTGAAATTTCAAATTTGTTGTCTTGCACAACCAATTAGTGTGTTAAATATCACGTAAACAGAGCAAAGTAGCAAATGCTCACATTGGGGGGAATATTTTTAGTTTACTGATTATCAAAATTTTGCAGATGCGTTTCCTGTCAAATGGATTAGTTGGCTTAATATTTCTTCTCCAACTCATTGTATGGCTTCAGGGTCTGACACTCTATGCTAATCAGTAGTACAACAGAAAGGTACACACTTTTCACTGTTGTGGATTATCTGGTTTCAGGTGTCAGTAAGATGATTTGTGTTGAAGTGAAAAGATACTAGTGGCTGACAACAATAGACAGCTATAATGTAAAGTTATGGCCTTTCCTAGTCGATAGACTGGTGGTACTGGCATGTAAATGTTGAAGCATTGCTAGTGCATCATAATGAATGTGTAGGAGGAATGATCTTACCACTAACCTCAGCTGCTGTTGTTTGGTGTCTGAGATCTGCTCGTGGCTCTTCAGCTCTCTCTTCAGACAATGAACAGGTAGAGCTTCAGTCTACCTCCAGGAAGTGTGACTTCTGATGGGCACATACTTGTTACCCTCTGCAAGGTTCAAATCTGTGAGCTAGGGCTGGGCGATATGGCTTAAAAATAAAATCTCTGATTTTTTCCACACCAAACCCGATTTACGATTTTAATAGATTTTTTTGTAGACTGTTTTTTAGCGGGTGTTTGTGGGCTGCGGTCCTGTATATTGCGCAGAGAGCAACATTTCTCCCACTCGGCTGCATGCCTCTGCTTGAGGTGCTGGAATAAATTCGTCGTACTGCTATCATTGGTTGCAACAGCTTTCAAACAAATGTTTTTGGTCAACTTGGATTTGGAGAAATACATTTTCCAGTTTTCCTATTTTCCAGTACTGGCACAAATTGCACTCAAATACGTGTGTGCTCTATGTAGCAGCTGGGACGGTGAGCAGAGAAAACAAATATACTAGGGATGCACCGAAATGAAAATTCT